ATGGCCGCGCGCCTCGTCCGTGGCTCCCTGCGCCTCCTGGGCGCCCGCCCCGCCTGGTGCCCGCCAGCCGCGAGGTGAGTGCGGCCTCCGGCCCCCGCCCGGGGATCCGGCGAGTGGGGGCGCCGCTGACCCCTGTCCTGACCTTTGGGGGCGCCGGGGCCGCGCGGGCGACTGGGCACCTCTGCACCCGCGCTGTCTGCGGCGCCGCAACCCGGATTCCGGCCGGTCGGAGCTCCGGAGGGGTGGTCGCCCGGGAGGCGAGGCCGCGCCAGCCGTCGGCGACCTTTGTCCCAGTTAGGGCGGCGGCGGGGAGTTTGGGAGAGGCCCCCTGTGGCCGCGCCCCGGAGGGACCCGCGAGGACCTGTCGCGCAGAGGGACCTGAGGTCTTGTTGTAAACCGTCTAAACCAATTAGATGCAGAGGGATTAATGGAGGGAGCCCCTAAGTAGCTCCGTGACTATTAAAGTAGATTTACAGTGAGATCAGAAGTTCAGATAGCATCGGAGGTGTGAAATCCATTCTTTAGGCGAACGAACTGGAAGCGCGGAGGACTCCTACTTAATTGGGGCGACCTGGAAGGGTAAATTAGTACGTTGTTGTGAAGTACAATAAGGGTTGAGAGGCCTGCAAGACTTCAAAAGCTTCCTCTTCCCTGGGCGGGTTTGGGTAGGCTATAGGGCGGAGGAGGCTTTTTAGGATACACTTATAAATTCTTCGCCAGGAGATCCTTGAGACACAAATCCTCCAACATTTCTGTAACGGCCCCTTTACACGCTTAAAACTAGTGAAGCCCAAAAATGGGTTATTTTAGGGCAAGTATGAGAAGAAAACCTGGCTTCACAAAGGAGTATCGGAAAAGGAAAGACCCGAGGGATCCTCTGACTAGGCCAGGGGTTATGATTCTAAAAGGATTCGTAAATGTTTATGTGCATTTAGATCATTTAGGGAGCTTGTTAAAATGCAGATTCAAACCCCATAGGTCTGGAGCAGCGCTTGAGTTTGAGCATAACCAACTCCCATATATTCAACAATATAGTGATAGTTTCCTTTTTTAAAAAAATAGGCTTGCAAAAAATAGTTAGAATTTAGCCTCTAAGATTATTAAACTTATGCTGGGGGCGAGTGCTAACAGCTTTTTTACTACAAGCTTCTTGGATCCAACAAACTTGCTGCCAAACGTTTTGGTATCTTTCCTCCACGTGTTATCTTGACCACCTTTAACCTCAAAACCTTTATTCTTTTGTTGTTGTTCTTTTCACCTTCCTGTGTCTACATGTATTTTACTTAGAAGATTTTCTTAATATAATGTGGGTCATAATATTTAAAATCCAGGCAGACTGCTTTGCAAGCTCTGGCTTTATTTACTCAGCATATTGACAGATGATTCTTACTTACTTAGAGCCCTGGTTTCCCAGCCTCAATATATCCCCTCACCATTCTCCCCACTGAAGGAAAACATCACACATGTAAAATTTATGTGGATAACTGGGTGTTTTAGTTTTAGTTCTACTAGGAAAAAAATTGGAGCCTGTTATTTCAGTTACAGTGATCAAGTTTTAGTGTATGCAACATGAGCGTTGGAGTTCCTTCTTGTCCTTGGTCTTATCTTTACTCCTCACTCATTCCCTTCCAGCCATACTTGGCCTCCTTGCTCTTTCTAGATCACATTCAGCCATCTGCAGACTTACAGCCTTTGCTCCAGTTGTTATTTTGCCCAAATTCTTCTAGTCTAGAAAATGCTTGGCTGTGACCTTCAAGGGCTTGCTTAGATCTCACCTTTGCTTGACCCCTTGACCACTCTATTGTTTCTGTACTGCAGCCTCTGCCTTACACACACACACACACACACACACACACCCCTGATTTCTTATGGCTTTGCTTTTCCCATGGCACTTACTGCCTCTAACATATAATTTGCCTATTTACTGGGTTGTTTATTGTTACTCAGGTTCCCTTTCTTAAAACGTAAGCATGAAAACAACGGTCTTTGGGGTACTCTTGTATCCCAAGACCACTAGATCAGTGCTTGGCACTAAACAGGTACTTAGTATCTGTTAACTAAATGGATTATCCATTGAAAATCATGCCTGTGATGATGAGGACTAGTAATCATGTTTATAAAGCCAAAAGGCAAGTGTAGTATAAAAACTGTAGTGTTGAAAATGCACAGTTAGTAATTGCCAGGGACTGGGTACCGAGTGTAGTACTAGAGAACTTGCCTGAAGTATATGAGGCCCTGAGTTTGATCCTCAGGTCATTTCGGTTGTATTATAGAGCTCAACTAAAAGCTACATGTTTGAGTGGCTTAAGCAAAGAAGCTGTGAAGTTCAATGTCAAGGTGTTAACTGATTCTGTTTCTGGGGAGGTCAGTCTTCGCCTGGCTTCTCATGGCCCTAAAATGGGCTGCGTGTAAGACAAAGAAAGAAAAATCTTCTTAGGGAACTAGCAGTCATACCAGGTTAAGACCTCCACCCTTTAGACCTCATTTGACTATACTTACTTTCAAAAAGCCCTGTTTCCAAATTCACTACTATTGAATTGTAGGGCTCTAACATAAAAACTTTTAATGGGATATTAAATAAATAAATATACAAAAATCAGCCACGCACGAAAGGATTCATTTTAGGTTAAAAATATGATTGAAACAACCTAAATGTCAATAAACAAGACTGATTAATGAGTATCTTAGGCTGATTTAGTGTAATTGATAATTAGGAAGATGTTGGAAGCCTTTCTCCTTTTCCTCCTCTTCTCACTCTATGTGTACTAAGGATTGGACTTTCCCTTTTCACACTGATCTGCATGTTCAACCCTTTTTATTTTTTATTTTGAGACAAGGTCTAACAGTTTCTGTGCTGTAGTAAAACTTGGAACTCTAGCCTCCTAGAATTCTAGAAATGTAAGCATATACTACTGCTAGTATTATAAGCACATACTCTCTTAGTTGGAAAAAACATGTCTTAACATTTACTTAAAAACTCTGAAATGCCATACGTGGCATGGTGGTACATGTCTGTTAATTCCAACCTTCTGAGAGGCTGAGGCAGGAGGATCACAAGTTCCAACTCAGCCAAGGCAGCTTTAGAACACAGAGTAGCTATGCAAAATGCCTAGATTCAACCTCCAATACAAAAAAGAACAAAACAAAGAAAAAAGAAGGAAAAAAAGCATGGTTCAGCTAAAGAAGAGAAAAACCTAAATCAGAATTTGATGCAAAACAGGGCCGGCCAGATAGCTCAGTGGATTAGGAAGGCGCAGGGATCGAGGTTTGATCCCCCAGGGCCACGCTGAAATGGTGACTGAGACTGGGTGTGGTGGCGCATGCCTAGAATCCCAGCCCTTGGCAGGCTGAAAACAGGAGGATCACTACAAGTCTGATCTGAGTAGTGAGAGCTGGTAGACCCTGTACTAAATACATTTTTAAAAAAGTAAGATATGCTGAGTTATCACACCTATAATATTCAAATGATGGAAGTAAACAAAAAAGGGGATACAGATGAATGTCCATTTTGTATCTATTCAAAATGGTTAGGAGAGACATATAGTTACATTCTCTTAATGAATAGAGGGATTTGTTCTAATAGTGTTTGTAAATAGGATATCACGTCTGCATCTTGTACAGCAAATAACCACTAGGAAAAGAGTATGCAATGTGTTAATTATTGAAACTGTCATACTAATTTGATTTGAAACTGTCTCATTGCTATTTGTCTCTCAATAAAATTATGGAAAAAAAAGAAAAGAAAAAAATACTTAGAAGGGGGGAAAAGTAAGATAAATAATTTGATGAAAACAGAAAAATATGGTTTGTCAATATATGAATATGTGAGTCATGTATTAAATGTAATCTTGAAAATGCCCAAAGGAACAGAGATTTTCAAAATTGGAAAAGACCACTGAACAAAAAGAACTGCAGATTAGTCTCATTTTAAGCTTAGTGGGTATGGAAGGGGTCTTGGTGGGAAGGGGGAATACAAATAGCAGTTCTTAAACATCTTGAGTTGTTCTATTCAAATCCATATAGAAATTGGTAGGCAGTTTGATTTCCACCCAGATTGGCTCTGTAGTGTGGCAATGTCTTTAATGACGCAGTTTACATTTTACACACCTGCCCTTTGAAGTTACGTGATTCTGTATGAAACACTACATGTAGAGGGTTTGCATTATTCTAAACACTACATTTGACCCGAACATTTGTGTTATTCTGTTGTACTGCTTGACTTTTGCATAATTTAATCTATGTGCCACTTGACAATATTATATTTCACCTCAGCTATAATCTGTGGTTACTCTCAGGCATTGTCCTTATAGAATTGGAAATTCAGGCTGAGATGAATAATGATAAAGTGTTTAATCCCTTTAAAAGTGAGGCAGAGCCTGTCAAAAATGGTGTTGCAAGGGCCAGCGAAATAGCTCATCAGATTAAAGCACCTACAAACAGGCGCAGGTCTGCTGTGCCAGCCCCACTCCTGGGGCACACTGAGACAGCAATTGAGACTGGGCAAGGTGGCATGTGCCTGAAATCCCAGCACTTGGGAGGCTGTAAGCAGGAGAATCACTACGAGTCCAGTCTAATAGTGAGACCCTGAACCCCTATAGACCCTTCCCTAAAATATAGGAAAAAAAAATGGCGATGTGTAAGTGTCTCTGGGAAAGCTTTCATGGTTCTATGTTGTTCAGTCATATTAATTTGAAATACGGTTCATTTAATTTGCTTAATGAATATTTTTTTAAAGGTGTTCTCATTCCGGTGGGGAAGCACGTCTAGAAACTTCCTCTGCTAAAAGATTTACGGATATAGGAATTAGAAGAATCTTCTCTTCAGAGCACGACATTTTCAGGGAAAGTGTAAGGAAGTTTTTTCAAGAAGAAGTGGTTCCCTATCATGCAGAGTAAGTAGCTTACATTCCTTTAATGGATGAAATGAACTATAAAATTCTGTGTACTGGACAGAAAAACTACTGTTCAAATTTTTTAAGCATTTTTACTGATTTTCACAATATTGTAAGATCCTTGGGTTGTAAAGTGAGTTCTTAGCTTTTTATATGAGGTGTGTTCATCGTTCTTAGCTTTTTATATGATGTGTGCTCTTTCTTTCTTTCTTTCTTTCTTTCTTTTCTTTCTTTGTTCTTTTAATGTATTTGGTAGTTGCAGGGTCTTACTACACAGCTCAGACTTGTGATCCTCCTGTGTTCAACCTCCCCAGCACTGAAATTATAGGTGTGTCAGGCTCAGCCCGCCCTGGGGGTGGGGCTGGCGCTGCATGTGGTGCTGGGGATCGAACCCCAGTGCCTGCCTAAGCTTGCCTAAATAGGCACTTTAGTCTGCTGAGCTTTCTCACCAGCCCAATGAGGTGTTTCTTTGTTTTTGCTTTTGAAATAGGGCCTGTGTTGCCCAGGCTGGTTTTGAACTTCTGAGCTTGAGCAGTTTTCCCGCCTCACCCTCCCAGGTAGCTGGGACTACAGGCTTACATGACCACACTGATGAGCTGTTTTAAATGAATTTGAAAATGTACTATTCAATAATAAGATAATTTAAGTAGCAACAAACTACTCGTCTATTTCTTGTTCTTTTTATAAATGTATTAAGATATGTAGAAGCTCAAAGGCCCAGTGTAGTACAGATCATAGTAGCTGATGGCCACCTCTGAGAACTTTCACTACTAGATGCTTCTTTTTTTTTTTTTTTGGCAGAACCGGGGATTGAACTCAGGCCCTTGCGCTTGCCAGGGAAGCGCTTATTCTGCTGAGCCATCTCCCCAGCCAAACATCTTTATTTTTATTTTACTTTTTTCCCCCAGTACTAGGTATTGAATCCAGGACCTTGCACTTGCCAGGCAAGTACTTATGTTGCTGAGCTATCTCCCCAGCCCCTAGATGCTTCTTGATTAATCACTGATTACTTTATTAGCAAAAACTATCATTTCTACTAAGTATTTGCATTTCCAAAAGTCTTCAATAACAGTCCACTGCCATATTTAAAATAATTTTTAAATTTCATTTAAAAACATTGCGTTACGGGCCAGAGCCACCGCTGTGGACCCTTCCTCGGCCAGTGAGTGAGCGCTGTTTGGGGACGGTGGTGCTGGTGGCCGGGTCCCCACGCCAGCCTATCTGGGATAGGCCGTCCCCAGACCTAGGCTATCTGCGGCGTGTTCTGACGCCTCTGAAATGTGTAAATCTGTAACATACCATTCTCTGTGGCCTGTTTTTCCTGGAAGAAGAAGAAGAAAAAAAAAAAAAGGTTTGGCAGGCCATCTTTTTTTTTTGTACTTAAAAGTAGCCTTAAGAACAATAATAAAGTGCTTTTAAACCTCCCCTCCAAAAAAAAAACCAAAACATTGCGTTAATTACAAAATTGTGTTAAGAGTTTTGTGTTTTGTTTCACTTTTTTTGTTTGGAGATGATCTTGCTATGTAATACAGGCTGCACATGAACTAACTCTCTACACCTGGCTAGCTTCAAATTTAAGATTATTCTGCCTCCAGAGTGCTGGAAAAATAGGTGTGGTCCATGGCCTATTAGGTATTTTAATATTGTCTTTGTTAGAATCATCAAAATTAGCTTAATTCAAACTATGACTAATCTTTGGTGATAAAAGAACCTAGCTTTTTAAAGGTAAGTGTAGTAGATACTGTTCTAGAAGAATCTTTTTGCTTTTTCACTACTTTATAAGTTTTTGTTTCAGAAATTGTTGAGAAGGCCCTGAAGTAAAAATAATTGAGTTAAAACGTTTTGAGTCAACACCAAAAACATTTCTTTTTCTTTCTTTTCTTTTTTTTCAGTGTTTTGGTCACTTTTTTATTCTTTATTTTTATCATTTTTAATTTAAAGAGAAAAAATAACCCCAAAGTGAAACCATATAAGAAGAACAAAGGCAGAAACAAAGCAACATAAAACAATACAAATGGTATAGAATATGAAATCACAAATAGAAAATTAATAGTCATTTATATCATGTATTGTTATCAAATTTCTTGCCCACATTACCAGATATAGGTGTGCAAGATTGACAAACATTAACTCTTCATTTCAAAAAAACCATATTTTTTCCTTGTCCTTTTTACTTTGTGTATTTTAATTTAAGGATAGTATAGTAATAATAGGACA